AGACAGCAGTGGCCAGGACAGGGGAGAGATTCTGTCATAGAGTTGGTCAGTTGCAGAGTGGAAAAGAGAAGGGTTTAAGTTGTGAAGGTTTCTTTGGGTAATTGTTTGCCACTTTGAGGGATAAGTGTTTGAAGATGAGGACACTGTGAAGGTGATGAGATTGTGATCAAAGAGGGGAAAGGGGGTGTTTGTGAGATTGTAAGGAGTGCAAATATGGGAGAAAACAATGTATTCCCATCAGAGAGTGAGTGGAAGACAGTATACATTGTGTTAAGGCAAAAGATGAGATTAGGTTGAAGAGTTGGATTGTAGCTGTGTTGTTCACATTAATGGGGATGGTAAAATCTCCAAGAATGATAGTGGGTATTTCAGAGAAGAGAAAGTAGGGTATCCAAGCAAAGAAGTCATCAAGAAAGTGTGACTCTGGTCCAGGAGGATAGTAGATCACTGCAATCCTCAGAGAAATGGGAGAAAACAGCCGAATGCAGTGAGTCTCGAAAGAAGAAAAGGATAGAGAGGGAGGGTTGAGGAATTGAAAGGTGCTCAGTGGGGATAGAAGAAAACCAACTCCACCACCTTTCCAACCACTGAGTCTGGGTGAGTGAGTCCAGAGAAGGCCTCCATAGGAAAGTGCTGCTGCGGGAGAAGCAGAATCTGCTGCTTGAAGCCAGGTTTCTATAATTGCTAGTAGGTTAAGAGAGTGGGAGACAAAAAGGTCATGGACATATATGAGCTTATTACAGACAGAACGGGCATTCCAGAGTGCACATAAAAAAGGGAGGGTGGTTTTTAGGAGCATGGGGATTGAGATTAAATTAAGTGGATTGTGGTTATTCCTGGAGGAAGGAGGGTGCCTGGTGTGGGGGTGAGATACTGAAGGAGGGTGAGGATAGTAAGGTGGGAGCTGGATGTATATGAGTGCACATGCCTTACTGTCCTGGTGTTTGGGTCAGCAGGTGAGTAAAGTATTAGCAGGAGGTGATGAGAGCAGTAGTAGGGAGATGGTAGAAGTGAGGGTGAGATGTATAAGCTTTGGGGTGGAGCAGAGGGGTAAAGCAATGAGATTTTGAGAACAGAGGATATTATTTGAAAAGGAGGAGTAGAGGGGGCCTATTAAAAAGGTACATGGAGTGGGAATCAAACTTGTAGGAGATGTTTCCCAGGGTGTTTGCTTGCATTCCATCCAGAGTGCAGATATTTGTTGTATCTTCCTGCTACTTGAGTTATCCTGCTTTAGTTAAACTGCTGTGTTCAACTACTGTTTTGCACTCCAGCAGAAAATGCACTCACGCAGGACAGTCATATGTTGAATATCCTTAGGGCATTCACTGCAAAACACAGAGCTCTGTTAATCCCTCACTAATGTTTGCTTCAGCATGTGACAGGTTCTTCTTTACCAATCGCTGTATGCAATCTTTAAAGGATATGGTTACCATTAAAAAAAATAATAAATGCACATTTTTTGCAGGTATAAAAATGTGCATTTATTATAATTTTTTAGGAGCCTGTAAAGCATTGGACCCGCAGTTAGCAGATGAGGGTTGCAGTGTTGGGCTCCTGCAGACTGTCTGTGCAGTTGTCTGCCCGTACCTATAATACGGGCAGTCAGAAAATGAATGACAGGAAGATGAAAGACAGAGAGAGCTCATCAGCGCCCTTGTAGTTGATTGAGAGCTACAAGCTGTCAGCCGCAATGAATGATGCGGCTGTATGGGCAGAACCCCACAAATCTGCACTCTTTTTGAATTATGATAATGGGGAGAAGATCCCTGGTCTGCTATGATAGGCGAGGGGGATGGGGATGGGAGAAGGAAATCAGGGGAAAGGAGGCAGAAGCTGAACATGTTACACCCTAAATACGGGTATAACATGTTCACAAAGGTGAACTTATCCTTTAAGCACCACTTCAGCTTCAAGTGCTGCTGCCACCAGAGAGCCTGGTGAGACCTCTAGCTTCATCAAATTTACATAGATTGCTGTTGGCTTCACCCCGTGACACATTTCCTTTTCCCCCATACACGTGCAGCAGCGCACGCCATTACTGCAGCGGCAGCAATACTCACTTCATCTGTAGCAGCACAGGGAGCACAAACTGAGCACCACTGCCCCTATTGGAAAAAAACAGAAATACACATCAGACAGCCCAAGCTGTGATCTTCACTTAAAGGGCCTTCATACTGCAGGGACACTCACCCCTCATCTCGCTGCAGGATCCAAGGACACAATTGTTACCCATCACAGCAAGCTGTGTGACACTGGACCCTAAGGGACTTGATTCCACTTTTTATGGGCTCCACTGCCCTGGATCTGTACAGAATCCCACCAGAAAACCCTTGGTCAGTTACTGCTACACAGGGTTCCATATACGCAGGATCCACAGAACGGTCGCATTACAGAAAATCGCAGCCTATTCACCTCCATCATAGCAGGGCCTGGGTACTGTTAACCTTAGAATCCCAGCTGTAGGAATTGATCCTGCCACCAATGTTATGATCCTTGTTGAATTCGCTTGAGAACTTGGTACTCCCAAGCAGAGAGCTGTACTTTCGATCATTACCTTCTGGAGTAGGAAGGGTTGTAAAGTATTTCCTGTCAGTATTTTCTGCCAGTGTCCATTTACCTGTAGGTGGTGCATAACCCAGGTAGTCATGATTTATAGCCCACTCTGTGTCCTGTGATGTACAAAAAAAGAAAAAACAAAGAAAAAGTAGAACATGGGAGCTATAGGCAGGAGCATAATGTTACTACAAAAAGCAATTTAAAACCCATAGTGGATTTCAGTTTAAATAAAGCCACAAATGGACCAGAGGCACTTAACACTTGATGCACTAATGTAAGTACAATTGAAGGAATGAACCTGTATGCTGCACACTAGTGTAGACAGGGGTGTCCATAAATATCAACAGTAGAAGATAAATGGAAACTCGCTTCTAAAAAAAAGTCCATAAATACAATAAACCTATTTTATTCAGCAACCATAATGGAATGAAAAAAGTCATTAGTTAAAAACAAGGTTACATCTAAAACTCTGTACACCCAAAACATAGCCCAGTAATTGTTGTAAAGGTGGACATCAAGGAACACATACCAGCCAGTGAGGTCCTGGGAAAGAACAAAGACAGAGGACTACTGATGCTCCATGGGTGTAAACAGCTCCAGTCCGATATTTAGCACACAGGGGGAAAACCACCAAGATGGCTGCTCCGTGTATACTGGAACCCAGAAGTGACGTTAATCGGCAGAGCTGTGGACCAAAGTGATGATGCCGACGTCCCAGTGGCTGTGTCAGAGGAGGAGTGGACCAAGGATCGCTCTCTCATCAATGGGATTAAAAATTTCAAAGCACCTGGCTTCCTTATCAAATTTGTTTTTTTTGGAAGCGATTTTTCATTTACCTTGTACTGTTTATGTTTATGGACACCTCTGTCTACACTAGATTTCAATTTAAAACAGACCTTGCATTGAAATGTGACTTGCCCCACCTCCTGCTTTTAAATGCTGCAATACAGAATAAAAAAAAAACAAACAAAAAAACCCATAAAAAATACTTGCCTAATTCCCAGATTTTTGGTGGGCTCACCTAGCCACTTAAAGCAGGGTCTCACTTGAAAAAAATAAAAGGACAACTTCTGGTTCCAATCGCCTACCTTACCTGTCAAAATTGGGTGCCTGTCTCCCCTCCCTGCTCCCCAAAAGTGCCAATTCCTCACAGGGAGCAGTCCTTTAAAGCGGAACATCCCCTTTTGGTTGCAGCTCCACTTGAAGGGCCAGACCTTTTCTGTCAATTTCTGTTCACAGGAAACAATCAGTTTTTTTTTGCGGCCCTCAAACATTACATTTTTTTTTGTTAAAGCAGAGGCCCTAGACTAGAGAATAAATTTTGCAGGTTACCACTTTAGATTAACAGAGGAGGTCTGGTGCTAGAGTTACTGTCCATGATCTGATGTTCACATGTGTGGAACAATAGCTGTTTACATGTATGTGGGACCAACGCATAGAGTCGCCTTTGCACGCAAGCACTGTCACTTTTTTTTACACTGTCATTTTACAAAAAAAAAAAAAATTATCACTTTTTGTGCTGTCACAAAAGAATGTCAATATCCCTTGCGACAGCAAAAAGCATGTGACTGATACTCTTTATAGAGGGATCTGGGGACTATAATACCCCAAATCCCTCCTCTGCACTCAAAAGCATTCAATCACACCAAGATCGATATGATTGAAAGCTTTTATTTAAAAAAAAACGGAGTATTTTAAAATCTGAGTAAACCGAAAGTGATGTCTTCTCATCGCTTCTGGTTTACTATATAACAGAGCTGAACAAAGCTGATCTGGTCTTGTTCGGCTCTGTGACCAGCCGGAAGCAGCACCAGCTGGTTGAACAGGACTCCTGGTGGGACGGGAGATCCCGTGAAAGGAGCAGAAGGCAGTGGGAGGGGAGGTCTCCCCCCCCCTTTCTGCATTCTGCTAGTTAGCCTCTCCAATCGCTATTACAAGAAAACCGCCGTCCGCTGCAAATAACAGTACCATGGGTGATGCCTGCAGGGTGCAGGCATCATACCAGTACAACCACTTGAAGACCAGTAACATACCAGGTATGTGACTGGTCAGCAAGTGGCTAGGCAAGTGTGATGTCAGGGAGTCCTCTTGTGGAAACTTGGAGAGTTGAGAATCCCAGGTCCCACAAGAACATGCTCCTGTACAGTACTGTAATATCCTTTTGTGAGAATCCTGAGCTTTCCCAAGATCCCTCTGTGATGCCCAGTGATGTCAGCGACAGGACGTGGCAATAGCCTGGGAGTAAGGTGAGTTTATTATGTATTTTTTCAATGTGTCTTTTATTTCTGAAATGCAGTGTTTTGCTAACATGAGGTGGAGGCAGCCACATTGGCACACCTTGCTTTTGCTGCAAGGTCCCCGTTAGCTGAAAGTTGTAAAAAACTGGAAGGTCCAATCCCACTGCGATGTATTCATTTTATTTTCCTGTATCTTTTTTCTAGCTCTGCTCAGTTCTCGATTAAAACAGCTGTGGCTTCCTAGATGCGATGATATACAAGGTATAACAGTTTTTACGCATCCTTATTCTGTAACTCCTCCTGCAACGTTGTTGGTCCTTGTGACAGATCAGCTGGACCATGTTAATGAAATAAAACTGCTTCTTAAGGAAGAATTTGATAAACAATACAAGGAGAAGAAAATTGAACAAGTGCTTCTGACAACATTTTCCCTTACAGAGATTCAGGATATTTTCTCAGTAGTGAATGAAAAGCCTGAAATAAATATGATATTAGACAAACTACAGAACTGCATTTTTCTAAATGGCTGTGAAAAGGATGTTCTTGAAGTGGAATTGAAGGTACAAAGCAAGCTTACCACCATTATAAGTGAAAGGCTTCAAAACGTAACTATGGAACAAACTGGGTTCCTGGTCCAGTGGGGCTATTCAGATGATGACGATTCCTACCCATTTAGTCTTGAAGATAGTCAGTTATTAGAAAATAGTTACCAGCATTCAAAGAAAGGAATTGTAACAGTGACACTTGAAAATGGCAAACAAGCAAAGGTCAATCTGGAAACAATGTCAGCAGCACCTGAGGTGGATAGCCCAGAAGTCAAAGTTATTCGACGAGACTTAAAAAATGGTATGATTTTTTTTTGAACCGTAGATTTATAGCTATACTAAGTTTCTTTATTCTTTTTAAATTTTAATTGCGATTGTAAAGGCTTTTGTCAATATGTATACATGGGGCGTGTGCCTTATGGTGATATGCTCTTTTCACCTTAAAGTGGAATGAATCCCAACATTTTATTGGTTTCCTAAAGGAAAGTTCAAACTATAAATGTTTAATAAATAATATTATTTTCTTTAAAGTGGAACTAAACCCCCCTATCTTTTACAGCCTAGGAAGTTACCATCTTTTTTTTAATGTTTTTATTGAGTTTTCATGTTGAAAAAGAAAGACAATGTTAATACAGAGTCCAGTATAAGATAAACCAAGATAAGGTACATTGAACTGGTAACCAGAGGTTGAATATGGAGAACAAACTCTTGTCTACTAAGTAATGGCGGGGGGGCCCAGATAGTTGTATATTTTGATTGTCTGTAGCCTGTTGAAGTCCATAAATTGTCCGCAATACATACATAGCCCAAACAGTTAAAAGGTTATAGATGTTAGGGTGTGTGTGCATTTGCAGCTTAATCCATGAACCACAAGTTAGAAACAATAGGGTACTCTAAAATGAATGGAGACATGGATATCTAACAAGGAGGTGAAAAAAAAAAACCCTTGTGGTAAAACTGGTGAGTACCATAACCTGAGCTATAAACAGTCTGGAGAGTAGCTGAGAACATATACATTATAGACAAGTAGATCAGTAAAAAGCTAAATTCGGAACACAAACAGCTGATTTAAATATATAAACATAAACGGGGGGAGAGGCAGAGTCATGTTGCAACCTCACATGAGCAGTATAAAGGAGAGAATCACAGATTTAGATGTTGTTGTAACATACACTTAGTCTTTGTCCGTTGGGCTATACTTGAGATAGTGCAGTATCAGGTCACCAGCTAGGTTTCGTTAGGTTACTGATGTTAGGGGGGGTAAAAGGTATGGTAAAGATGATTTCTGGAGCTGTGGAAGATATATGTATTTCTCTACTGGTGGAGCGGTGTGATGAATCTGTATCTAGTTTTTCCTTGCGGAGTAGGCTCAATAAGTCCTGTTTGACATCCGAAATTGTAGGTGGAAAGGAAGATGTCCATCTTTTGAGAATGGTTCATCTCGCTGTCATAAAACAGGTGGCTAGTCGTGGTTTATTTAGCTGAAGAACCAGCTAGATAGGTCTGGGACAGTGGTAGGAAAGTATCCAAAAATGAGCATGAAAGGATCCTTAGAGGTAGTGTAACCAGCAAAAGTCTCGAGTTGATTCCAGAAGGCAGAGATATATGGGCATAGCCATAACCTGTGGACTATCATTGGTCTGTGGGCAGCACAAAGAGGGCATCTGTTTTGATGTTGAGGGTGTTTTGAGGCCAGGTGGGGAATGTATGCCCAGTGCATGATTTTGAATTGTTGTTCCCTCCATAACTTGTTGATTACAAAAGCACAGGTAGTATATCCCGCATATCTAATGCATCCGAAGAGTGGAGATCTGTATTCGGAGGCAGCTGATGCAGATTGTGTTGGCTTGGAAAGGCGGGAGTTCAGTGGTTTATATATGTCTGAGATTTTGAATTGCTGACGATCCAATAATACGTCTATCATGGACGTGCGGATTCTCGGAGGCTTGTTGGACAGGTGCTGGTGATGTGGTTCACCACTTGTTGGACAATTAAGACATGGTAGGTAAATTATATTGTTTCCTAATTTGGGAAAGAGGACTGTACCCGAAGTTACATCAAATAGTTGTGCAAAATGCATTAGCCCTTTGGAAACCCATGTGGAAGCCACATGTTGTTGAGTCAAAGGAAAGGATGGATTCTTATGGATTGGGATGTCAAGATATCCCAATTTGCATCTGATCTCTCTCCAAGCCACGAGCGTGTCTTGTAATAGTAGATTGTGCTTTAGGTTGGATGAGAGAGAGTGTAGCTTACAATGTAGCAAAGTGGATAGATCATTGGGGTCCATTTGGGATTCGAGGTCAAAGTTAGAATAGTTAGAAGTCTGAGAAATCCAATCTAAGCACACTCTTAGTAAACATGACAGATTATAGCCTCTGATGTTAGGTAGGTTGGCCCCCCTTCGCTCTTCAGAAGGCACAGTTTTTGTAGAGAAATACGAGGACGTTGTTTGCACCATAGGAATTTTGTCTGAGTCTTTATGCCGAATTAGGAGAGGGATGGTTTGAAGAGGGTAGAGGAGTTTGGCAAAGTTGACCATTTCGAACAAATGGCATCTTCCGAAGAGCAAGAGTGGGATTCCCATCCATGTCTCCAACTCTCCTATAATTTTTTTAATCACTGGGAGGAAGTTGGGGAGAAGAGGGCACTTTCCCTATTTTGATATCTAGATATGTGATGTCATTCTTTGCTACTTGAAAGATAGAGGATTCAACTCCTTGGGGGTTCTGGTGTGATATAGTGGAAGAATTCTACTTTTAGAGAAATTGATCCCAAGACCAAAGCAGGTTTCGGAACCGTGTGAAAATGTCAGGGCTCCCAGGTGTGACCAGAGATGTGTGACTGACGCAAGGAAACGCAGACCTCAGATATGTTATAAACAATATAATTTATTAACACTAACAATACAAACATAAACGCAGTGCAATACTAAAACATAATACAGTGCAAACAAACCAAACCAAACCACCCACAGATAACAGTACATACAAGCAAGCATCGTCAGGCAGGCCGGGTCAATATCAATAGGGCAGGTAGGTACAGGGGGAGCAAGCGGAGATTGGTCAGGGTCACAAGCCAGGGATCAGAACAGGTAGCAAGCAGCGTGGTACAGAGGGTCAGACAGAGGGATGGTCAGGAGCGAGCCGGGATCAGAGCAGGAGAAGTCAGCAGCGGTTCAGAAACAGGATGCAGGACAGAAACAGGATGCAGGACAGAAACAGGATACAGGGCCCAGGACAAACACACACCAAGGCAGAGTCTGTGGGTCTGGCCATCCCTTAAATACCCCAGCATAATCAGTTACAGGTGTTAGCTGGCTGCAAAGTTGAGTCTCTGATTGCTGGGAACACCCGCTGGCCAGCCCTGGTACTGCAGATCAAAAGGCAGGTGAGTCCCACCATAGCTGGCCAGTCCATTTCCTGACAGTACCCCCCCCTCAAGGAGCGGCCTCAGGACGCTCCAAACAGTCCTAGCTGGGAAAAATGTTCCACCGCCCGGGTCTGGTAACTGGCGGGATATCAAAGACTGGCACACCGGGCAGGACTCCGGGCAGCGGTACACCGGGCAGACCGGGGCACATCGGGCCGGACTCCGGGCAGAGGCACATCGGGCCGGACTCCGGGCAGAGGCACATCGGGCCGGACTCCGGGCAGAGGCACATCGGGGGCCGGACGGACCGGGCAGAGGCACATCGGGCCGGACTCCGGGCAGAGGCACACCGGGCCGGACTCCGGGCAGAGGCACACCGGGCCGGACTCCGGGCAGAGGCACACCGGGCCCGGACTCCGGGCAGAGGCACACCGGGCCGGACTCCGGGCAGAGGCACATCGGGCCGGACTCCGGGCAGACTCCGGGCACACCGGGCCGGACTCCGGGCAGAGGCACATCGGGCCGGCACACCGGGCAGAGGACTCCGGGCTGGACTCCGGGCAGAGGCACATCGGGCCTGGACTCCGGGCAGAGGCACATCGGGACTCCTGGACTAGGCACGGGCAGAGGCACATCGGGCTGGACTCCGGGCAGAGGCACATCGGGCTGGACTCCGGGCAGAGGCACATCGGGCTGGACTCCGGGCAGAGGCACATCGGGCTGGACTCCGGGCAGAGGCACATCGGGCTGGACTCCGGGCAGAGGCACATCGGCTGGACTCCGGGCAGAGGCACATCGGGCTGGACTCCGGGCAGAGGCACATCGGGCTGGACTCCGGGCAGAGGCACATCGGGCTGGACTCCGGGCAGAGGCACATCGGGCTGGACTCCGGGCAGAGGCACATCGGGCTGGACTCCGGGCAGAGGCACATCGGGCAGAGGCACATCGGGCCGGACTCCGGGCAGAGGCACATCGGGCCAGAGCGCGGACTCCGGGCAGAGGCACATCGGGCCGGATTCCGGGCAGAGGCACATCGGGCCGGACGGGGCAGAGGCACATCGGGCAGGGACACCGGGCAGAGGCACATCGGGCAGGACACCGGGCAGAGGCACATCGGGGCAGGACACCGGGCAGAGGCACATCGGGCAGGACTCCGGGCAGAGGCACATCGGGCAGGACTCCGGGCAGAGGCACATCGGGCTACCAGGCGAAGCGGCAGGCCTCGGGCCCCCAGGCGGAGCGGCGGGACGCCGGACCCCCAGGCGGAACTACAGGTCTCGGGCCCTCAGGCGGAGCGGCGGGCGCCGGACCCCCAGAAGGAGCGACAGGTCTCGGACCCCCAGGCGGGGCGACAGGCGCCGGACCCCCAGATGGAGGAGCAGCGGGGCGCCGGACCCCCAGGCGGAACTACAGGTCTCGGGCCCTCAGGCGGGGCGACAGGCATCGGGCCCCCAGGCGGGGCGACAGGCATCGGGCCCCCAGGCGGGGCGACAGGCATCGGGCCCCCAGACGAAGCGGCGGGCACCGAGTCACCAGGCACGACAGTGGGCACCCCAGGCCTCGTCTGTCTGCAAGACTGCGGGCATCGAGTCAACTGGCGGAACAGCGGGCACCGAGTCGTCTGGCAAGGCTGCGGGCACCGAGTCGTCTGGCTCGGGCTGCGGGCACCGAGTCGCCCCCAGGCGGGCAAGGCTGCGGGCACCGAGTCGTCTGGCAAGGCTGCGGGCACCGAGTCGTCTGGCCCAAGGCGGGGCACCGAGTCGTCTGGCAAGACTGCAGGCACCGAGTCGTCTGGCAAGACTGCGGGCACCGAGTCGTCTGGCAAGACTGCGGGCACCGAGTCGTCTGGCAAGACTGCGGGCATCGAGTCAACTGGCGGAACAGCGGGCACCGAGTCGTCTGGCAACTGGCGGACTGCGGGCACCGAGT